AAAGGATCAGTTACTTCTTGGACAGCCTGTATGTGGAACCCGGCTAACAAAACCCCAACCGCTTGTAAGGTTTCTATATATTTCGCAAGATGTGAAGGTTACCAACAGAATCGGAAGCTTATATTTCAATAAAGGAACTCTTCGAACTGATTTTGAGAGCGTGCAAAGAGCTTGACAGGTTGACACAGGTTGACACGCGACTATTTGATAGAAAGATAAGAAGAGAAACTACAACTTTGGGACAAAATTTCTTCAACAGTTGGAATTAACGTTATTTTTATATGTTTTTGGAGCTTTCGTTCACATGTTCACTCTGTATGAAGCTTTCAATAATCTTTTGCACAATTGTTAAATCTCAACTTTATTTACATAGTTCTTTATGTAGTGACTTTGAATAAAAAAATTACTTCAACTCCAGATTTACTATTTCTGAAAATGGGGACTTTAGACTAGGGAAGCTGCAAAGGGCATTTATGATGGTTAAAACAAAGGAGTCGCCTGCGATATAAATTTTTCTTATTGGTGGAGGCATATTAACTCTGGCAACCTCAACTTCGAAGAACAGCCTCGTTCCGCTCGACTATTAAAATTGGACAATGGGAACATGCTTTCCCTCTTGAACATAAACTGTCATTGAGTAGTTGTGATTTGGGAACAATCCTTAGAGTCGATCACAAAACGGTCTTGAGACCCTGGCATCAGCTTCAACTCATCTATAAGAAGTCCCGTCAAGACTCACGTTAGCTGATCGAAGCACAAGCTAGTTGGCACGTTGAAATTTGCATGTGCTTTTTAAGACACCCTGTGAACGATCAATTCTGGGAGCAACTTGTGATGTCTATCAACAAATAGGTTTGGGTAGTCAATCCAAAATTGACAAAAGAAGTAGGTTTCAAGTTTCGCCCTGGGTTTAAGGTTTAGACGGGTTCGGCAAAAAAAATTATAATCAGTGTTTGGGTGGAATTGCGAAGGTGGCCTTCGCCTTGAATTTGTTCTTAATCGACGTGCTGTCTAGTAAGATCTCCACTGCCAACAACTGGGCCGAGTGTATGACAAGCTTAAATAGAAGTAGCTTCGGAAACGGACTCTGTTCAACTAGGAAAATGCCACGACAGATGTTCAAAGAATTCGCGCGGTTTCCAGGCCTGATGCTGCACCACCTGAATATCGCCTCATCCGATCAATGCAGCATTTCTTGCGGAGTTGTCGATGCGTGTCAGTCGGGAAAGTTAAAA